ATTTTTCTTTTGCTGTTGCTCTTTGCTATTTATAAAAAACCCAGACCTAAATGTAGAAAGGGAAAACCTCATCTAAATTGGGTGTGTATGTTTGTGGATATATGTGTGTGTGAGTGTGGATGCCTGTGCATGCGTGTGGTACAACCAGTGATTCTTAGTTCCTCTCAAGCTTTGTAGACTTAAATTTTCTTCCATTAAAAAAAAAAACTACACTTTTTTTCTCTATATCTACTATCTAGGTAACATTAATCTTTCTGAGGTTTGTAACCTCATGGCAAGTTTTAGAGAGTAAAAATCATGATGGTTAACATTTATTGGACCTTTATTGGTGGCAGGCACTCTTCGAAGCACTTGATATGTGTTCTCTCATTTCGTCCTCATTATATGAAGAGTTGCTAATGTCACCCCATATTATAGATGAGGAGACTGGGGCAAAGTGAATTTAGTAATTGTCCGAGGCCACGGAGTCAGAAAATGGCAGAGCTGGGAATCAGCCAGTCTCACCACTAACCATTGGATGGCCTGTATCAGTGAGTCCCCTAATAGAAGCCTGTGATTTTGAAGGGATGATTTGTGAACAACCAGTCCTGAACCACTTAAAGGAATTCAGATTCCAGGGCCTGGACCTATTGAATCACAGTGCCTGGAGATTTGGATCTGGGAATCTGAAATTTGACTGTACTTCCTTTCCTGTCCCCCTTCCCTCACCCCCCCACCACCTCCACCCACCACCCCATCCCCCCACCAAGATTCTGATGCATGATGGTGTCAAAGAACCAGTAGCGTAGGTATTTTGATCTAATTAGATAGAAAAAGAAAACTTTGATTTATTTACTATAATTTTTAATTCTTTATGTTTGAAAATACTAAAACAGCAACTCTCTTTCTTGGAATTGGACACCAGTTCCTTTCATGATAGTCATTGTCTGCACCCGCCATTGCTACAGATAACTTATTACTTTCCTACTACAGATTTCTGCTCATGTCTTGGTTTTATAAATTTAAGATATGCTTATTTAATGTTAGTGTGCAAAGCACTGTGTGAATTCTAGGAAGGAGGAGTAGGAATGTAGAGATAAATAAAATATGGTCCTGCTCTCATGTAGCTTGGGGTCTAGGGAGGAATAAAACTCAAATGCACATGATATATGGGTGTGGACGAAGGGGTATACGTACAGAATGGGGCTCAGGGAAGAAAGGCCAGGTCTCAAGTTTCACGTTGGGAGGATTTGGAGCTCCAGCAAGCAAATCCCAGAGTCCTCGAGGTGTGGGGCAAATGAGGACCCTGGATAGAAAGTTCCCATCTTAGGAGGTAGAGCCCAGAACTAGAGTTCTCATGTGAAGAGCCTGGCATGGTGCCTTACATGCATAGTGTAGGTTGGTTCATACATTTCTCCTCCTCCCCCCAAATTCCTTGGAAGCCTCCTTGAAAATTTCCTCCTTTTCCAAGTGAAGCCAGTTGACTTCATGTTTCTGAGACATACAAATTCTTACATTCACTCTCTCATTTTGTTGGTTCTGTCAGCACAGAACCAGTGCTCATTAGAGGAAGTGGTACTTCATATATTTTACATAATATATTCCGTAGTCCACATGAAATGGGTACATTAAAATTCAGCCTAAGCCAAACTCTTGTGCTTCATACAAGAGTAAAGTGTATTTGTTAAGGGCACCACCTGGATTTCAACTGGAATCCCGTTCCACCATTTACTAACGTTATGACCTGGGGGAAGTTATTCAATAGGCCTATCCCTCTGTATTTTTTTTTCTTTTTCATTTATAAAATGGAATAAAAGTAGAACTTATTTAAAATAGGTTATTACAAGGCATGTATTAAAAAAATCTTACATCATTTTTAAAAATGGGCACACAAGACAGTGTGGGCTTAAGTTTCACCATTTGGAAACAAGGGATTTAGACTTGGTGATGGCCAAGTTTCTCTTAGCTGTGTGTTGGCTTCTCCTTGACATGATTTAGTTGCATCATGTAGCAAGGCAGAGATCAAGGCCCGCAACTGAGTCAGCATGGCAGCTAAGCCTGTGGGGGAGGAGGTGGGAGGAGGGAGAAAGAGGGTCAGGCCTGTTCCCACTTGTGCTCCCCTCCTGGGGTGGGGATCCTCCTGGAGGTGCTCCTGGGCCCCAGGGCATTGGGCTCCTGTCCTCCTTGGCCTGGCTCACCTAGGGAGGGTTTGGGTCTGGTTGCCGCGCTCAGGTGGGACACCAGGTTCTGCTGCGTGGCTGAGCAGTCCTGGACCTCATCAAAGGAAAACTCTGGAATTTCTACTTCTTAAAAAACACCATTTTGCTTTTGAGTTGCATAGCCTTTATTGCACGGCATGGGTAATCATGGACTACAACTTGAGATTTATTTTGCAAACGCCCGGTTGTGGCAGACAGTTTTTTTGAAAGTAACTTGTCCAGAAACATAACTTTAAATCGTAAGAAATAGATGATAATTCTAGAGAATTTGGCAGATACAGGGAAGTATAAAAAGAAACTAAAAATCACTTTCAATTGCATCAGCTGGAAATGATTACTGTTAAATTATTTGATGCACTGTCTTTAAGTCTTCTGAGTATACACACACACGTCATTTGTCAACCTTAAGTGCATTACAGCAAGAACCAGAGTCTCTAAATCTTAGCCTACTGTTATGCAGCTTAATCTTGTAGGCACTACTCTTCAAAAACATATATTTAGTTATTTTCCTTGTGATGGATATTCAGCTGGTTTCTAGCTTTTCTGTTATAAATAATATTACTGTGGATATTTCTGTACATTAATCATTGACTCTATCTGTAATTATTTCCTTAAGAAAGATTTCTAAAAGGTGTATTATTGGGTCAAAGGAGATGAATAATAAAAAGGTCACATATTGCAAAACTGATATTATTATTTCCCAGAAAAGTTGGCTAATTTACATTTCTATTGGCTGTATTGAAATTCTTATTTCTACTGGACATTTTGGAAAGATTGTATTTTGATTCTTATATTTGTTCCTTTTGTCTTATAAGAATTACATATAAAAGGAAAATTATAAAATAGCTTATATATACAAATATTTGAAAAGCTGAATGAGAAGTCGCCAGATCACATAACTTGATTACCTAATGAATTAAAACCCAGTCTTTAATGAACTAATATATTGAATTTTCATTTCATTTTTATGTCACATTCAAGGCATTCCATACTATTCATTTTCTTGAGTGATTGAGCTCTTTTTTGGTTAGGTAAAGGCAAGTTTCACTCTCTGACCTTTACGTCTACAGGGAACATTAGAACCACGGGTCCAACCCCTCTCTCCTTTTTATGTTGCAGGAGTCTGAGGCCCAGAGAAGCTAAGTTTCTTGCTGATGATTAATACTTACTGAACCATGGAGTGTGGCTCAGAATTGACTCCAAGATGAATTGAATCCTCTTTCCCACACTGTCACCTTCTTTTCCTCTACATCCATCAACCAAATATAAGTGATTTGATATTGAATTTTCTGCTTGGATATATCCTGACACTCAGTATGAAGAATTGTACCACTCATGCTATCTGCTTGTGGTTTAATTCTGGAATCTTGCTTTACCCTTTGTATGTTTTTTCAGTGTTAGTTTTTTCGCCCCCCCGTAAGTTTGCATCTTAGTAGAAATTTCATGTGAGTCATTTTCCATTACAGGTTACCATTTAATATAAAATTTCTTCTAGACACAATTTTAGGCTTCTCAAACACTAGATGTTGATAAGTCACAAAGCATGAAAGTGTGTTAAGCTGTTGGATTCTTGAAATGGACATAGTTTAGGTAAAGGATTATAAATCTGGGGTTTTGAAGACTTTTTTTTTTCTGTCTCTATCAGAAACTCTAAGGTAAAGTTGTCTTAACTTTTCTATTTCAGTTTCTCTACATGTGAAAAGGAGGTGACTGTTCTCAGGGACTGGGTGTGGGCTTTATTGTATGATTTCTGTGAAGTTGGAAATTTGCACGGTTCTCATTATTCCTCTGTTGTATGGGAGAACTGTTATATGCATTGGTGGGAATCCTACCTATCAGTGGTAAAAAAAAAACACTTGATTTGTAGGTATCTGGGAAGAGTACTCAGGAATTCTTGGCTGAAATTTATCTTCTTGAAAGAGAAGACAGAGAGAGAGAGAGAGAGAGAGAATTCTAAGCAGGCTGTAACAAGCTCCTTTGAATGGTTCCTGGGAGTGGCTGGGTGTGGTAAGCCATCCCTCAGCCAAAATGCTGAGTAATCAAGTTAATAACGTTTGCAGTGTTCAGACTACAGGTAAGAAAAAGCACCAACAAAACAGTCTCCTAGGTTATTAAATATTTGGGCTGATGATTGCTTTTGCTGACTGGAGAAAATTATGTCTGATAAAATTGTTTGATGACTGAATGGATAATTCATTCTTTAAGCTATATTTCTTCCCTCTAAAAAAAAAACAAACCAAAAAATCTACTCTTTAATGCATAGTCAACCACATGGTTTTTGTGGCAAATGAAAGAGAAGAAAATTAGAGGTCATTTGGGGAATCGTAGAGCAAATGGTACTTCCTACAAACAGCCGGATCCCTTTCCATTTAGTATTTTTAAAGAAATATTTATTTCCAACAGTCAGAATTATGTTCGGGTTTCCTTGGGCATTGCGGAATTCCTGTCACCAGAAGCATTTCTGTCCAGGTTTGACAAGCGCTGAGCAGGAGTGTTGCAGAGGGAATTCAGACATCAAAAGGGAGAAAGGACAAAGCTGTCTGATTTAAACGCAAGTCTCTTAAAAATCTTTGGATCACAGTGGCAAGAGTGCAGCAGCTGTTCAATAAATTATTGCGGTGAATTAGGTGTGAATCCTCTGAACCAGGCTTTGGGCCATTATGAGTCTTCCCTGAGCCTGTGCCTGCCTGAGGAACCGGCAAAGCAGTAAAATAGTAATGGCCATCAGCAGGGAGTACACACCATGTGCCAGACGAATCCTATGTATTGTGTCTTCATGCGTATGTGTATTTCATTTTACAGATGACGACACAGGCTGGAGCAGTTAAGCGCTTTGTCTGGGATAGCTGAAGCAAGGAGAGGTACTGTGAGTTTCCCAAGGAATGACTCTGCCCCTAAACCCACATTTCCCCACTAGAACTGGAGAGTGTAATTTTTGAGAAGCATCCTGCCCACATCACCCTCTGATGACCTTCTTACCTCCACTTGCCCCACTGATGCCTAAGAGTCTACTTTCAGAGTTCAACTCATTTAGTTTATGACTTTGATCCTGGTTAGTAATAACCAGGCATCCGGGGAAGGGAAGCTATCAGTCAATCTTAGTTTGGCAGAACGAGGTGCTCTCATTCATTTAGACAACAAGCATTTATTGACTGCATACTGTCTATCAAGTCCGCACCAAGGGTTGGTGTTACAAAAATGAACGAGGCTTGGTCTTTATCATTAAGATTCGTAGCTGGATAGAAAAGACCGTGCAATAAACAGCTGATCGTGAAAGTGTGTGATAAATGAACAATAGAGAACCTTAGGTGAGTACAGCAGAGAACCAGTTGGCTTAGTTGCAGGTACTTTCCTGAGAACAGATTTGCTAGGAAGGGTATAGGTCATACTAAATGAAGGAGCTGCAGGGAGGCAGGAAATTCGGACTCTGCAAAGAGCAGGCTCCACAAAGAGCAGAGCTGTGTAATCTTAGTCACTGGGAGCTTCATCCAGCACTTCGTCCTATCAATGGTATTACATATTTTGCTAAGCAGAATTTATTTAATTTCTGGGGCCCTCTTTCTTTTGTGATCGCCGCTCTGTTTAATTGGTAGTACCTCTTTGGCATTCTAGACAGGATGAGCTATCCCAGTTGACGTGGAAAGGTAGAGGTTAGGGAGCTTTTTGGGGCACCACCCTATTTGAGAAGTATGAATCATTACGACCATCACATATTCCTTCTATTTCATATCATATTTCATCTTCCGGTCCCGCGTGGCCTCCCAGGGTTGCCCTTCTGTACCTACGAATGTATGTATTTAGCCCAAGGCAGGATCCACCGACAGCCCTTCCTGCCCGAGCATGTCAGAGGCCTTTGGAAGCTGTGCAGACAACAGCAACTTCAGCCTGAATCATTTTTTTCACTCATGGACCAGCTGCCAAGAGGCATGAGTAAGAGCCGGGAGTGCAGGAGTGGGAGGCGGCGGGAGCGCAGGCTGGGAGTGGTCACAGAGGGCGTGGTGCCGGTTCAGGTGAGCAAGCCTTGCCTCTGCCCCACAGAGGGTTTGTCCCTACATCAAGGTCCTTCCGCGGCCCTCACTTTCCTTTTCCCTTGCCGTGCATTTTCCAGGATAACTGTGACTCCAGGTAAGCAAAGCGTGGTGGTAGGGCTGGTGATTCCCCTTTTCAGGAAGATTCTTAAAACCAAATCATGATTTGAGCTGCTTCGAGGTGGTGAAGGAAGTTGACATAGTGGTTATCGTCAAGGACAGGCGGTGGGCTGTGGTGCTGCTGCCTGCCCACCCCCACATGGGCAGCACTTAGAGCTCTTGGTCCTTTGGGAACCAGGAATGCCGTGTAGGGAGCGAAATCACTTAGCCAGGAGAGGTGCAAGTATGAAGAGATAGCACGGCTAGGTTTGGGTGGTAGTGGTGGTGGGGCTGTGCGACAGTGATTTCTGGAGGGGAAAGTTTTTCTGAGGACCTTTTCAGCCCTGTCTGGGAATTGAAAATGAATGTTGTAATGCTAGTTTCAGAAAGGGCATGGTGCTGGAAACCTGGAGAGACTCAGCAGGCATCTGAATGTCTGGCTCACCTTCCTGATTGGGGGAGAGTCTGATTTTGGAACCACTTTTCTTTTTGGCATTTTTAAGCACCCAGTCAGTGTTCGCTTACTAGGAACCACATTCTTCCAGGCAGGGAATATTTTCTCTCCCTATTTCTGGGTTTCAGGACACTTGAAACATGTTACGTATTTCACATGTGTGTTCTTGGGCAACATTTCAAATAGGCTGGTTCATAGTTTCTTCCTCATAGACACTGTGGTTTTTATGGCTTCATTGAGGTGTATCATGCTAAAGATCAATTTTAATAGGCCAGGCTGTTCTGTTGGCTTGTAATCAGATTAGGTACCGACTCACAGAGCTGAGGGGTTAGCCACACTCTGGCTCAGCCCTTTACGTTGTGGTTGAGGAATGGAGGTTCACAGAGGTGAAGTGGTGTCCACAGTCAAAGAGCTTATAAGTGAGGTGATGAAGTAGAATCCAGGCCTTCAAGCCCACAGCTTGTAGACTTTTCCATGAACCCCCAGGTACTCCTAACGACTTCTTTACTCCTACATCACCAAAGAGGTTTTGAATAGAATCAGGTGGGTCTCAAACCTGAGTCCCTACCTGTGTGTGCAAGTGTTTGATGGGTACCTTGATGGGTGGAGAGATGGATGCCTGCCTGAAGAAAGGATTCTCCGTATGACTCAGTGGGTTTATTTCTTTGCTTCCTAATGCCTTGAATTCTTCTGCTACTTCAATCCCTATGCTTGACTTTGAAGGTACACAGTCTGAGCAATTGGTCATTCTGGTACGGCAAGCCTGATTCTAGTTTACTGTTGGGCGGCAATGGGAAGGCTCAATGGTCAAGATCAGGCTTCTAAACAGAGTATCTGAGCACAAGAGAGGCTCCCCCGCCATTGGCAATTAAGCAGTTGACCTTATTACTAATAGCTGCGTTGTTCTCTCCTGCTAACAAAGCACTTTTCACACACATCTATTCATTCAAAACTTCACTTAATCCTCATGAGATTCTTTCACACTGCAGAAGCTACAAGGTCTCCCATTTTCTTTTCTTTTTTTTTTTTTTTTTTTTTTAAGGTCTCCCATTTTCTTAATCTGGCTCTGACTTTTTCTTCTTGTGAGTGCAGACAGCAGAGACTGTGTTTTTAGGCATTCCATTATAGTTATTACAATAGGCAAGGTTTCTCAAGACCTTGCCTTGGGACTGGCTAGACCAAATACTGATTTTTTTCACCACATTTTTCTTCATCTGTAAACTGAGGCCAGCTAGGCTAAATGATATCCACAATAATGTGACACAGTGAAAAATAGTTCTTAAGGAAAAAAAACCATGCACATAGCCGTGTGTGTGTGTGTGTTTGTATGTGCAAATGTGCATAGAAGAATGGATCTATACATAGAGTGAAATTATCTTGTTCAAATACAACATGTTTGAGAGCAAAAGGGGCACTCTTGCTAATTTCAGGACAAGACAGATAAACCAGGACTGTCCCAGGCAAAGTGGGACATATGGTCAACCTACCCACAAGGTCTTTATCTCATCCAAATGGTCTACAGATGAAAAGCTTGAGGACCATTGGCTTAGATGCATTAAAAACATTAGGAATCTGTATGCAGGGGCCAGTGACCAGCTATAGAGCTAGAGAAGTGAGCACACTGACCCTGAGCACATCCTAGTATGTGTGGCTCCACTCATTTGGGACCCCCTGCAGTCTCTGAATTGGGTCCGTTCTCTCTGGCACACAGTTTTGCATGCTAACTCCTACTTCTCCTTCAGGACTTGCTTTCGTGTGACTTACTTGGAACTGTCTCTGAGGAGACCTCACTAAGATTGTACTGTGAGTGAGCTGTCTCCCCTGAGGGCTCCCACCAGAAACTGGTGCCCCCATCCAAGTGCTAAGGACACCATCACACGTGACATGCCACATGACAGCTCCACAGAGGCAGGAACCGTGTGTGTTCACTTGTGACTTCCTACTGTCTAGCTCAGTGCCTGACACACAGGAGGTCCCCAGTTAACACTTACTGAATGAAAGCAATATCGAATTCATAGTTTGCAATGTAAAGAGCAGGAAGAGAACAAGAGCTTCTTGGAAAATGGTAAAAAAAGTTTTGGTGTATTTAAAAAAAAACATGCAAAGTCTCTTGGTATCTCTGAAAGGGTAATTGAGGACATGTAGGATTTTTGGAACTCTGAAGACTTCCAAGAGAACACACGCCAGTGAAGACACAATTACCGGGAGGGAAGGCGATGAGGTGTGGTGGGGAGCACATGGCCGGCAGCTGGTGGAAATGAAAGTCTGGTTTTGCCACTCTCACTCCCCGTGTGAGTGGCCTGGGACAATCACTTCATCTCTGTCTGCCTTACTTTCCTCATCTGTAACACGAAGGGGAGGAGCCAGCCTAGATCCATTCCAAGATCTTGTCCCACTTGAAAGATCTATGATTTTAGGATTCAATGCAAACAACAGGCAACTTTGCAATATTTTCTGACAACTTTTTGTTTCTTGCATTTGCATTTCTAACTTAAATTTCCATCTCACTTTTCTCTGGTTATCATAAAAGTGCCTCTTAAACATTTAAGTGACCTAAAAGATGTAGTGTTTTCTATGTTGGAGCTGTAATGGAAATTCTCTTTATTTGTTATAATTGTCAGAAGGTTTTCATGAAAATGAAAGAAGTTCTCTCTGTAACAAAGTGAAAAGTGAAACCAAAAAAGTTGCAGCAATTTTAACACCCTGAACACATGTCCTTAGACATGTCCATTTATTATGTAGGACTTGCTAATCTGTACTCTTTTCTTTTCTAATTTCTACTCTTGTACGCATAATTTTTATAGTATTCACTACTCAAAATGGACCGTGTAGGACCTGACGCATTTTCCTGGGCTCGTATTGCTAACATTGCCAAGATTTGTTTGCATGTTTTGTCTTGCAGTAGCACAGCGAGGTGGTAATTGGCTGTGGCCAAAGTCATCCCTTGGAACTACTTTAGACCAGATCGGCCTCAAGTATTTTTAGGTCGGTTGGTAATAATCATCAAGCGAGGGATCAGATTTACCATGCAATGTCTGACTGATTACTTGCTTGGGGACTGCCCCTACAGCAATTTCCACGTGCTGTCATTTTCTGCTTCCTTTGTCAAGCATCAAATAATGTTATTGTCTCTGGGACCTCAGATATGAAGGGGCTGCATGACCTTCCCCAACTCGAAGGAGACCTTTTCTGGGAAAGGAGCTTGTCAGCACACAGATAAGAAGGCACACCTCATGCACTGAGGACTCTTCATGCAAAGGAACAGACTCTTGAAAGGGAGGGTCTGCTCCTGTCAGGGAAGCCTCAGCTGATAGACATGTACTGATTTGTATTTTCCAACAGAGGCCTGACTCTGAGACTTGAATTGCAACACAGTGTTAATTATGTTGTGTAATCAACTGTACTAAAAACCACCACGATCTTGTACTCACATAGAACCATTTAGACTACGTTTATCTTCAAATGCTATAAAGCATGAAAGAAGAGTGCTTCACTTGAACAAAATGAGAATTTCTTTTTTTTTTTAAGATTTTATTTATTTATTTATTTGACAGAGAGAGAGACAGCGAGAGCAGGAACACAAGCAGGGGGAGCAGGAGAGGGAGAAGCAGGCTTCCCGCCGAGCAGGGAGCCCGATGTGGGGCTCGATCCCAGGACCCTGGGATCATGACCTGAGCCGAAGGCAGACGCTTAACGACTGAGCCACCCAGGCGCCCCCAAAATGAGAATTTCTTTACCCTTCGATCCGCTTCCTGGAGTTTGCTGTCAAAATTCCCTTAGTGGATTACTCCAAGGCCTTACACACAAGAAGGAAATCAAACTTTAGTAAAGTTTGTTATCGATTATGCAAAATTATTCTAATTTCTCTTCGGGACGGTGGGAAATACATGCTGGGAAGGACTGCTGATGTCTGTTCAAGCAGAGTTGGTATGTTTTCATATTAGTATTAATGTGATTAGGCCTCAAGTTGTAAAAGCTTTGAGAAGTTCCCAGTGACCTGGGTTTAGGCTTTTCTCTTTGGTGAAGAAATAGCTCATGTAGGCATCTCTCTTTGATGGAGAAATAACTCATGCTGAATTTTAACTGTAGATGAAGTCCGCACCGTCAATGTTAAATTTACTGTTGGAGAAAGCCAGACATCTTGTCCTGAAAGTCCGTATACATGGATTCCCCAAACCTTTTGTGAAGTTTTTTAAAATTTTCCTGCAGTGGTCCTACTGGTCCAAACACCCCATATGCTTCCGTTTCTATCTCATTGCCTTCTGCACACCTGATACTGGGCTCCTTCGCCTGAGAATGGGCTGTCATCCACGCAGACCCCAACCCTGAGGAGAGAGGAGAAGGTCATGGGCCCCAGAGAAATGTAAGATTGAAGGTTACCTTGTAGTAGGTTTTCAGTGAGAACACAGACCTAAGCTCACTTAGCTGTTCTTATCGGGGACATAAAATGAAAGAGGAAGAAGTCATTGGAGATGACAAGCGAGCATGAACGGGTCAACAAAACTTTTTTTTTTTTTGGTAATGAATTTCCTTTTACAGACTCCGAGATATATTATAGTCTTTTTGAATCCATCCTACACACAAGCCACATGTCCCATAAAAGGCAGAATTCTGAAAACATATTTGTAGACCAGGGGCCCATTCCTTGGTCTTATTTTTGCATCTTTGAATTTTGAATTTCTGTTAAGGTATAAGGTACACAATTGAGATCCTATTCATGCATTGACTCTAACAGCTCTTTAGGTCCTGTTGGCAGGAAGCCCTCTGTCCTGAGTGCTGATACTTTGTCTGACACCAGGAAACGTGTCCTACCATTGAACGAGGTCCTTCAATGTCATGTTCGCTCTTTGTGTCTGTGTGTTTGACTACACAGTGCCCAACGGCTTTGGGGGAATGCTTCAAGCCTTGGCCTGTGCCCTAGTCAGCCAGGGGTAGTAATATCATTCTATGGCCCTCAGACATATTCTATCCTGGGCTCAGGCTGAGCCTGAAGAGTCCATGTAGCTCCGCTCTGTTCTAGAAAGGGTTATGCCCTGACTGCTTGAGTTACCCAGGTGCCCTCCGGCTTGATCATTAACTACTGGATTGGACAGATAGGTGGACCTTTCAATAGAACAACAGTTCTCAAACTTTTAAATTTCAAGACCCCTTTACACTCTTAAAAATTACTGAGGATCCCAAAGAGCTGTTTTTCTTTCCTTTTTCTTTCTTTCTTTCTTTCTTTTTTTTTTTTTAAAGATTTTATTTATTTATTTGAGAGAGAGCATGAGAGGGAAGAGGGTCAGAGGAAGAAGCAGACTCCCCGCTGAGCAGGGAGCCCGATGCGGGACTCGATCCCGGGACTCCAGGATCATGACCTGAGCCGAAGGCAGTCGCTTAACCAACTGAGCCACCCAGGCGCCCCTCTTTTGTTTTTTTTTTTTTTTTTTTGATGTCAGATATGTCTATCAGTATTTCCCAATTAGAAATTAAAACCGGAGAAATTTTGAAATATTTACTAATTTATTAAAAATGACAATAATATAACCATGACATATTAACATGAATAACATATCTTTATGAAAAACAACTCTTTTCTAAAGGAAAAAATTGCAGAAGGATGAGTAATGTTTTTTATTGTCTTCAAATCTCTTTAAAATTTGGTTTAAGGGAAGACACATCAAACAGCCTCTGGAAAACTGCTGCATATTTGTGAGAGATTGAACATGAAAAGACAAACAACGTCTGAAAGTTATTATGAAATTTTTAAAAAATTATTTAATCTATGCCCAACAAGGGGCTTGAACTCACGACCCGGGGATCAAGAGTCGCATGCTCTGCTGACTGAGCCAGGCAGGTGCCCCTGAAAATGGACCCACTAAAAGATGCCAGGGGTCTCTGGACACCACTTAGCGAATATGCATCAGAATAAGAGTCCTCAGACAAGACTAGGTGCCTACTCACTTCCCCAGGCTCCATATTTTTAGCTGAACCCACCTTCCCTCTTTTCTTTAACTCCTCACGTGGCTCACTTGGCAAAGGCAGCCCTGCATTCTACTTATTTGTCTCCGTATCTCCCCAAAGGGATTGCGGACTCAGAGAAGGAGGGACTCAGTTGATACTTCTAATACTTTGTGTGGTGTGTCTTCCACATTGTAGGTATGTACTCACACCAAAAACAATCACAGCTGTGTTTATTCAGTATTGCTATGTGCTAGGTGCCCTCCTAGGGCATTACTGGCTGTATTAGATTCCTAGGACCGCTGTAACGAAGTACCACAGATTGCCTGGCTTGAAACAATAGAAATGTATTCTCCCACAATTCTGGAGACCAGAAGCCTGGAATCAAGGTGCTGGCAGGGCCCTGCTCTCCCTGGGAGCTGTAGGGGAGAATCTGTCCCATGCTTTTCTCTTAGCTTCTGGTATTGCCCGTGATTCTTGGGGTTCCTAGAAGCATCACTTTGATCTCCTCTTCTGCTATCTGTGGCCTTCTCCCTGTGTGTCCTCACATCATCTTCCCTTTGCTCATGTCTGTCTCTGTGTCTTTTCTCCTGTTCTTACAAGGACCTCAGTCACCCTCTTAACCCTAACTTGATTAAATCTGCAAAGATCTTATTTCCAAATGAGATCCCATTCACAGGTATCCAGGAGTGGGACTTCAACATGTCTTTTTGGGGGACATGATTCAACACATTACACTTACTAAATATTAAATTGAACCACACAGAACTGCTGTGATATGACTGTTTTTCATCTGCAAAAATGTTAATTTTGTATGGTTTAGCCTAAATCCTAATTGAAACAAAATTGGTAAACGAAACCAACTGATTTTGATCAGTGTTGTCAACTGTCAACTGAAATAACCTCATCCTTGTACTTTGCTCCAGACCCACAATGGATGCTCTACGACTGGCAAATTCAGCCTTTGCAGTTGACCTGTTCAAACAACTGTGTGAAAATGAGCCAGCAGGCAATGTCCTCTTCTCTCCAATCTGTCTCTCCACCTCTCTGTCCCTTGCTCAAGTAGGCGCCAAAGGGGACACAGCAAATGAAATTGGACAGGTAAGCTCCGTACCTTGTTTCTGCTTTGAGTGCAAACAGGCTTATTAGAACACATAGGCAGTGCCTAAGGAAAATGAATGGGGGCTCTTAGAGAAAATTGCTCAGCATTGAGAATTGTGCTATTTCCAGCCCCCTCTTAATCAGTCTTTAAATGTGAAAGTTCATTAATCTGTCCTGCAACCCACATTTACAAGTACCATGTTGTGATGGAGAACCCGGGACCTGCTAGGCAATCACAATCTTTATACCAATGGGTGGCCTTCAGCAAGTCTACCTGTTACATTATAAGAATCAATCAAGATGGTGTTTGTTAAATGTGCCGCGGCAGACAACCCCTGTCTTATGCACAAAATTTATTGACAGCATCATGCTTTATTTTAAGATGTAGGCTCCATTGCATTCTACTCTATAATATATTCTACCCTATAATATGGGAATATCTGTATTAGATAAATTTATCTGCACTTATGTTGGTACAGAAATAACATTTTAAATTTTCTACCTTCAAGTAACAGGGATGAATAAGAAGACAGATTGTGCTTTCTTATGTTTCAGAATACTCCCTAGGGCTTGAGTATCCCATGTGAGAAGAATGGACTAAAATGATGTCACCCCTCCCCCATATATGTTTATAGTTATATGCAGATGCGAGTGTATGTGTGCGTGCGTGTGTATTTTTTTTTAGAGTTACTTTTTTGGCTATGGTTGACTATTTGCTTTGTAAAATTCTTAGACCTTCAAATGAGGTGATCTTCCAGATTGTTACATTTTAAATACTCATTTACCTTTATTTCAGTTTATCATTATTTTTAATTGTGATGTAATTGACATATAACGTATTAGTTTTAGGTGTGCAATAGAGTGATTTGCTATCTGCATATATTGTGAAATGATCACCACAGTAAGTCAAGTTAACATCTGTCACCTTACATTGTTACAATTTTTTTTTTCTTGTATGAGAACTTTTGAGACTTATTCTCTTAGCAACTTTCAAATGCACAATACAGTAATTGTTAACTATAATCACCCTGCTGTACATTACATTCCCATGAATTACTTATTTTATGCCTGGAAATTTTGACCCCTTTACCCATCTCCCCCTCTTAGATAGTAGGTAGATGTGCTTCTACTTCCATTCCAGTATTATTTTTATGTTGATCATTTTAGGTTCAACGGAATCTTTTTTTCCATCAACTCACAAGCATTTAAAAAAGGAATGTCTTCTTATATCCATAAATCCCCAGAAAGTATGACCCACAAAATATCATTTGAGTCAGGATGAAGAATTTACACTCGAAACTGAGTGGGGCTTGAAAAAGAAACTTCAGTTGTGGGCAGAACACCTGTCTCTTCTTATCTGTCCTTCACTCCCGACTCCCCCACCCCTCCATCCCTACCCCATTTCTCCTTCCTCCTTCCTCATCTCCCATTAGAGAAGGGATAGTAAAGAGAACTTCCTGGTAGTGGGTCTGTTCTCAATAATAAAGCTCTTTTCAGTACCTGCAATTGTTTTCCTGGTAGTGGTTACCTGGGTTCCTTAATTTTCTAGTCTTTTTTCCTGTCATTGAGCATGAGAGTGCTGTACTACTTGGACCAGCCAATTTGACCCTGCTGTACCGAGGTTTTTGAGTCATCGGCACGGTGTGCCCATTTAGTGACAGTACCTGAGGTGTGGCAACCAAGGCCGTTATTATGACTTAAGAGTGAGGAGAGGATCACCTTATGCTGACATCACGTTTTGGGGCACAATGAAGCAGAGGAGCTGCTGGGCTATTGGTTGGAACAAAAGAAAAGTTAGGAACAAAACGGAAGGAATGAAGCCTTCCAGAAGACAGCATCCTAGTTTTAAGTGACTTCCAGTATTACTATAAGAATAATTATTAATGTTTCTGAATCCATATGATGTTTTAGGTGTTTTACATGCAATGTCTGTAATGGTCATATCAACTCAGGAAAGTAGGTATTCTCAGTCCCTTTTCCAGAGGGGAACATGAATCTCTGAAGAGCTGGGCAAGATTATATGTCTAGTGGGTACAGGCTGGGATTCCCAGGCAGGGCTGTGTGACTGTAGCCCACCAAGTGCAGCCAACCATGGATGGTGGCCGCCTCCCAACGGTGATGCATCAGCACATTTGGTTAGAGCAACCGAAGGGGCTAGATAGACCCTGGCTGGAGACGCCTCTCTCCCCGAATCTGATACCTGCCTAATGATTGTCTCTCTTGGTATTCATCTCTCTCTTCTTGTGTCTCAGTTGGATAGACATTATAACCCAGCTTTATTCTTTACCAAGTTCAGAAAGCCTTCTTTATGAACATTGGAGGCATCACTTTGAAGAATGGGCAAAATTGCCCCGTAGTTGAACAAAGAGAAGACTATCTTCATGGCAGTCAACTGGGGACAGTTCTGCCCCCCCCCCATCCCAGGGACATTTGGAGATGCCTGGAGACATTTTTAGTTGTCACAAATGGAGGAAGGGGCACTATGGGCACCTAGTTAACCAGGGATGCTGCGAAGCATTCTACCATATCCAGGACAGCACTCCAGAAAGAATTATCCAGCCCCAAATGCCAATAATACTCAAGTTGAAAAGCCTCCCTTTATGGGAACAATTGAGCGGGGAGATACTGACCCCCCCCCCTCCCCCCGTAGCCACTGCAGTGGAAAGAGGCAATGCTTCCTGGGTAATGCATTTTTTTCTCTTCACAGGTCCTTCATTTTGAAAATATCAAAGATGTACCCTTTGGATTTCAAACAGTAACATCGGATGTGAACAAACTTAGTTCCTTTTACTCACTGAAACTAATCAAACGGCTCTATGTAGACAAATCTCTGAATCCTTCTACAGTAAGTGGGTTAAAGCAAGTAGCATCATCCACCTTTTTATCAGGAGGGACATTTTCACATGGTTAGACCCACAACTTTGTCGTCAGTGAAATTCACTTCTAGGATGCTCGTTTATGATTTCAGGCTTATCAAAAATAAATCAGTCCTAATGGAGAATGTGGGGGGTTTCCTAATCAGATAGGTGGGTCACCAAATGTGGGGCAACCCAATCGGGTATAAGCTGGCAGCTTGGGTGGTGAAAGCATTCACACAAGGCGGAACAAAGGAGATAGAAGTTTATTGAATACACCGCAAGGGAGTGGCGGGCAGGACAGCAAGGAAGAGACTGTCTGCCATGAGGCAGTGGTTGGGGGCTGTAGTTAAGGGGCAGGTGAGGAGGTATGGAATGTACGGAATTTACCTCTTGTGGGTACCTGAGTCTGGGTGTAAGTAACCCATGGGTTAGCTAGGGCTTGTGGATATTTTGAGGGGGGGTCGCCTAATGGGGCTGTTTTTATTCAGCCAGGGAGTAGGGGCTCCCAGCGGGCCCTTCTACCTTTCTCAGGCTTCCATTGCTCAAGTTGACTGTCTAAAAGCGGCCTCTACGGGGAGGCTGCAAATAGCGGGAGTCACATCTAGCTAGAATTGCACTGCAGTCACATTATGGCTCAAAATATAGAGAAGCTTGTGGGTTTCCCTTTTTCCTCTCAAACACACCTTCATCTCACCCTTCCTCCTAGCTTCCTCACTGAGAGGAATAGAGAATGGGGGTATTAACTCTTTAGTCAATGTATCTCTGTAGATGCAAGACAGCTCATGAGTTAAACCTCTTTCTCCTTAAATAGCAGGACCTGTGGCCTGGGTCAACATTTTATTTTATTTTATTTTATTTTATTTTTTTTAAAGATTTTATTTATTTATCTGAGAGAGAATGGGAGACAGAAAGCATGAGAGGGGGAGGATCAGAGGAAGAAGCAGACTCCCCGCCAAGCAGGGAGCCCGATGCGGGACTCAATCCCGGGACTCCAGGATCATGACCTGAGCCGAAGGCAGTTGCTTAACCAACTGAGCCACCCAGGCGCCCTGGGTCAACATTTTAAATTCTCTACCTCATTTGTTCATGCACACAATATTCTCTTGATGTTTCTCAAAATCAATAAGAAAAAAAGCAACTGCATGAACTAGTTACAAATTGATTTTGTTTGCTTTCCTAGGCTGGTCATGTGGGCATCTATCCAAGGTAGCTCTAGGTATTTAATTTCAGCTGTTTCTTGAAGGAATCATATAAAGTACACTGTAGTATCCTTACATTTGACCCCAGAGTATATCATAATTTTTTAAAAATCTGTATTTAAAAAACAAAGCCAACATCTTTGACGGCTACATAGAGGTTCTTTCTCTACTTTAGTAATATAGAGTTGATTCCATTTGTGTTTGCATGATCAGAATTGCAAGCTTTCCACATCTAAAAGGTAGACTTCCAGTTAAATATTTTACCATAGTTTTACTACTTTATGCTGTACCGTTTGTTTTTCTAGTCGAGATCTTTTTTTTTTTAAAGATTTTTATTTATTTATTTGAAGAGAGACAGAGATAGTGACAGAGATAGCAAGAGAGGGGAGGAGAGGGAGAAGCAGATTCCCCTTTGAGCAGGGAGCCTGATGCAGGGTTCATTCCCAGGACCCTGGGATCATGACCTGAGCTGAAGGCAGATGCTTAACTGACTGAGCCACCCAGGCGCCCCCATTTCTTCTATTCTAGGATATATATATACATATATATAAAATGCACATTTTAATGTTTCTAAGTTGGAATTCATATTATAATTATTGCATACATTTAATGTAGTGTTTCTTTTTTTCCCCCAAAGCTGCTACTACGTTGATGGAGGCATTTAATAATTGATATTCCTTAGAATTGAAGAAATGAAACACTTCAGACAAAGGATATTCATTGATTTCCCCAGGAAGTTTCCATTTGTACAGTGTTACTGATTTTGAAAGGGTATTCACCAACCTGGACACTTACAAATCCTTTAGTTAGAATCATGGAAGGTCGCAATGGCCTGACTATGGACTTTAGGTACTTTGTGATTTTAAGAACTGGATGTTTTTCAGGAGTTCATCAGCTCTACGAAGAGACCCTACGCAAAGGAAATGGAAACCGTTGACTTCAAAGATAAATTGGAAGAAACAAAAGGTCAGATCAACCAGTCAATCAAGGATCTCACGGATGGCAAGTATCCTTTCCTTACTTGGACCCTGTCTTCTCATGAATCTTTCTGCTAAGCATAAACTGGAACATCCGGAGGCTTCCTCGGATGTTTTCAGGAGACAAGCTAAATTCTTGCCCTTCCAGCCATTTCAAACATGCGGATGGATTCCTGGGCATGTCCAACATCATCTTACACTTGGCAGGAATTCGTGGTGCTTCAGTTTCTTTTTTCTTTTTTAAATTTTTAAAATGTGTTTTTATTTATTTATTTATTTATTTTTGGTGTTTCCGTTTCCATCCGCCTTGCTGTGCTCCCCAGTGAGCTGTCAGCCTCCACATGCCTGCTCCCAGCTATGTCTCCAACAGAGGGTGGCTTCCGGCAAGTCACTGGCCACTTTCTCAATCTGGAAACGAAGGGTTTGGGCTTCACCTTGGTCTCTGAGGCCACCTTCAGTTCCGCTGCTGCGGTCTGGGGAGGGACATGCTTCTCAGGCAAGGGAGACTCGCTTCCTGTGGGAGTGGCCAGAGGGAGCCTGTCTTGGTGCTGACTCAGGAATGCCAGAGTCCTCGCAGCAATTGCAGAGTGAGACCCTGGAGAGGCCTTGGTCTTGGAGTCCTTCAAAACCTGGATTCAAATCCAGATGCTGCCACTTTGAACTGAGTTCCTTGGGTAGGGAGCCTCAGTTTACTGACCTGTAAAATGCGGCATGTGTTACCTGATTAATTTTTACATGGTGGTTGTGAGGATCAAGTTCGATCTATAGGGTAACAAACAATGTATGATAGCTATGCATGCACACACACGGATGTATACATACGTATAGATCTGATATGAAATGATGCTTCTTTGCCTTCATATGTAAAGAAAAAACTGGTAAAATTAACACCAGGTTAAGCACAGTTTAAAGATTTATAAGCAAAAAGCAGTTACTGTTTAAACTGCTGTGTAACAGTTTTGCTTCTAGAATTGCCAGATAATTGTATTTTCTCTATATGGGCCTTTAAAAAAATCTTCATGAACTTAAGATTTTACTGGAGAAGGTAGGTTATTGAAAAGTCCTCCGAATTTAGAGTCAGAAGCTCAAGATTTAAGTTGAAACGACCACCTACTGGCTCCCCTCCTTGTCTGGTCTACCAGTTCCTTCCTTAACATGATTAGTATTCAACCCGTCATGTAACATTGGCAAGACTGGTCACATGAGTTCAGTGCAAGATGCAAACACAGGGTCCTTTATTAAAAAACGTATTAAGAACTTCAATGTGGTGACAGAGGAGCAGGAAACCAGAACAGGGCCCTGCACACGCATGTCACAGGTCTGTGGAGTGGGCCCTGAGCTGCAGTGGGAACATCCTGGGGATTAGGTAAATGAAAATCCCTTGGAAAAAACGTCAGTGTTATTCACATGTGAGGCCTTCGTTTTATGAAGGCATTATCCTCAGGGAGCTGTTGGGGCTGCTGGGGACTGGATCTCTGCAGCAATGACCCTGCTGACTTTGATGCTAGTGGGCGTCTGTGCCAGGGCCCTCTGCGGAGGGCGAGCCCAGCTATAGGGTCAAGAGCACAGTGCAGTCCTGCACAAACAAGCATTCCAGCCCAGCGAGCCAGGAAGGCTGCTCGGCCTCCCCGAGCCCCAGGTTCCTTAAGTATAAAATGGGGATAACGATCTTGGCCTTCCAGGATCACTGTGAGGTAGTGCACGGGAAAAGGTTAAAATTACACCCGTGCGTTTTCATTCCAGAGCACAGGCTGTGGAGTCCGAAAGACTCAGCTCTGAATCCTGAATCCGACCTTGCTCATGTGTCATCTTGAGCCAGTGACTTCACCACCACGTCTCAGCTTCCTCATCTGTAAAATGGGGAGAAATACATGACACCCTGCCTAGGAAACCTCTAGCACGCTAGCTGGCACAGGATAGACATTTGAAAGTGGTAGCTCATGGGTCTCTTCTTCCTGTTCTTCCTGTCTTTTTCCTCCCTTCCCCTCTGCTCTCTCCCTGCTAGGTCTCTTTGCTAAGTGCTCCTGTGGCAAGAGGGAGGGGGAGAAAGAAACCCTTCTGAAAGGAGGCATGTGGGCTATCCAACCTTGGGCGGGTGTCTCCAACAGTGATAAATACCCCGCGAGCGGACGTGCGTGTGGAGACCGGATGTGGTTTGGAAGAATGACAGGTGCAATCTGGGGTTTCCTATAATTGTTTGCAGGCCGCTTTGAGAACATCTTGCCTGACAACAGTGTCACTGACCAGACCAAAATCCTTGTGGTTAATGCTGCCTACTTCGTTGGGAAGTGGATGAAGAAATTTCCTGAATCCGAGACCAAAGAATGCCCATTCAGAATCAACAAGGTATGGGGAGGAGAGCAGCATGTCAGAGGCTCCCAACTATCGATCTGAAAAATTAGAGCAACACACGGGACCATAGGGACTCAGTCCAGTGAGGAAAATTGAGGCACGGGAGGTAGGTAGTGTGCCTACCCTGAGACTAACGGCTGGGAGGAAGGTGGTAGACAGAGAACCATAATCCAGAGACTCGCTCTCTTTTCCAGAATGGTTAGATTGTTTTGCTGGTGGGCTCTCCTCCCTGGAAAGGGCTGGCAGAGGGGCCCTAAGTTATGTGTAAGCAAAACCCGAAACAGTTTGTTAATGGTGTTTGTCCTAGCGGCCGCAGGGCAAGCCCAGGACCAGATCCACACCTGGTGATAGTCAGGAGTGCAGTGTGGGCTTTGGCACCAAGCGCCCCAGACATGTAATTTTTGCATCTAGCAAAGTGTGAAAGGGCGGAAAGAAGGAGGAATATGTGCTACTCCTTTACTGTGACTCAAGTCATAAAGGTGGGTCATGTCAGATCCTGGAGACTCTAGGAAGAGAATTAATAAGGATTTGAAATGTCATTGATCTTGCCGTGATTCATCTAACCAAGCAGTAAAATACTGCTCAAGCCTGCGTGGGGATCCGCCCTCCTTTTGAAAGCAAACTTTTCTTTTGTTTCCTTTGCTTTGCTTTTATAGCCCCTGAACTTTTCCACTGATGTTACTGAACTTTTCCCTCGGTCCCATGGTGTTTCCTTTAAGGGTAGACTAAGTTGATGAAGTTATATTATTAAAAGTTTAGTATAGTGCCTATTCAGACAAGGTGAATTAACACACACACATATATACAATACACACACACACACATACACATACACATTTCTTGGAATAGTCTTTATTTAGTCCGGTGTTCAGAAGATACGTCTCTTGATTTCAAGAGATGGGATTATTGTATATCCATATTCTGTGCTGATAAGTGAAATCGATGATGGTTTTTGGTGGCCACGACTATATGCAAATTCATATGACTAGCAGTCTAACTTGATGGAGATTTTTAGACAAATCTATATCTTCTTTGAGAGAAATAAATGGAAGAACCAGCAGTTAATTTCAAAAGTAGTATGTTTTTCTCTCACAGTTATGTTTCTGGTTGTACATAGACTCGAAGTCTTTAGTTATCTAGCAACCAAATATTTAGTGAGCAACTACTATGTGCTGGGATATACCAAGATAATAAGACATGGTTTCTGCTTTGACAGAAGTAGTCGAGTTGGGGTGGGGGGTGGAAAGACACTCACACAGATAAATATTCTAACCATGTGACAAGTATTGAAATAGAGGTGTTACAAAAAGTAAAATACGGTCTAGCTTTGCTTGAGAGGGGTGTCGGGGGAAATTTAGTTTACTGTTTGAAGATCCCAGATAAAAATTTTACTGCTATATCATCCCCTAGACCTGCTATGAAGTTTGAAATCTCCCCTAAATGAGATTTAGTTAATAGGCAAATATCCCATGGGAGGTGTAGATTGAAATAAGAAGTCACCCTAAATTACGATCAGTCTCTTGCTTTTGAGTATGAACTAATTTTCCTTCAGGAAATCAGTGTCTTTGTAGTAGAGACCCAAAGTCAAGTATTAATGGGGACAGAGAGAAAAAAGGACCTGGAGAGAAAAGCTTGGGCACTAAGGCCCTTTTCTGAGAAGTGATGAAGGCAGTGGAACTGGAAGTGACTTCAAGAAAATTCTGTTATTTAATATTCCCATTTAAAAAATTACAAAATATTTCAAGCATACAGAAAACTATAGAAAATATTAAAACAAACACCGATGTACCCAACAACCAGCTTTGTAAATCTTTATATTTTACCTTATTTCAGATATTTTAAAGAAAAAAATATAGCAACAGATATACTGCCCTGTGCAGCCCCACCCTCTCCTGTGTCTTTCTCTCTTCCTCCCCAGAGGTAGCAGTCATTCTGAAATGTCCAATTCCCTCATTTTACTGACAGGGAAACTGAGGCCCAGAGAAGTTAAGTGACTGCGCAAGATCAGGGCATCTGTTTATGTCACGTTTGAAGCTAAAACCCGAGGTTCTTAACTCTAACCCAGACTCTTCATCTGCTCAGATCCCAGTAGGTTGGCCGTACAGGAAGAGGGTAACAAAACCAAAGGATAACAGAGGACAAAACAAATGTGATGTTTGTCCTGCTACATGCTGAGTGTTCTCTATTACGTGTTCTAGCAGAAAAAGCTGCATAAGGAGATGCGTGGTTTGCACTAGAACTTACTTTCAAGTCAGCTCCACCAGGAATGGCTTAAGGAGCTTGTAATTATGAGCATCTATAAAGACTGAGTCAAAGTTTCCCTATGTTTTCAGTCATACTGCCTTATTTTTAATGTTTAATATAAGCAAGTTTAGTATGTCTAGTTCCTGAAATAGATTGGAATTATGAGGCATGTGAATAACTGTCCAAAGGAAGTCATAAACTCTTCAGGGGCTAGTCTGTGATGGTTTGGGTCCAGATGCAGGACTGCGCCATTATGGCCTGAAACTATAACAAGAACAAATGTCTGTGTGTATTTAAGGTTGTGCTTGTAACTTGAAAAACAAGCGGTCAAAATTTCTTCTCCTCTTACAGACGGACACCAAACCAGTGCAGATGATGAGTATGGAGGCCACGTTCTGTATGGGCAACGTCGATGGTATCAATTGTAAGATCATAGAGCTTCCCTTTCAAAACAAGCACCTCAGCATGCTCATTCTGCTACCCAGTGATGTGGAGGATGAGTCCACGGGCCTGGAGAAGGTGAGGAGGGAGGCGGGGTTCAACACAAAGGTGCCACCTGCCGTGCCATGAAGTTGTGTGGCCAGCACTGTGTGCGACTGTGACAAGGGTCTTGCAGTCCTTTCCGGGTCTTTCTGTTTAATAGGAAAACAGCCAACATTTGCTTGGCACTTGTGAGGAGCCAGGACCTGTGAGGTCCCACGTGCTCCTTGTCACTGGTTTCTCGCAACAGCCCTATCCGTGCATTGGAAACTATCACTGTGTTCTTGTTGACCGGGGAAACTGAGGCACAGCAGGGGAGGTGACTGGTCTGTGGTCACCTAAGTTGTCAGTGGCATGTAGAATCAGAATTTGAGCCCAGGCAGTTGAAATCTGTGTTCTTAATCTAGCCTCGGGTACCTATTACTAGCATCTTGCATTAGTGCGGTACGTTTGTTACAGCCGATGAGCCAGTTATCAGCACATTATCGTAGAGTCCACAGCTTGCTTTAGGGTTCACTCTTTGTGTGGCACATGCTATGGGTTTTGAAAAGCCCTTTTAATGCATACACGTATATAAGATTTTATTATGCTTCATCTTTTCTGTAGGTTATTAGAGGCTCGGGGTTTAACTAGAGGCTCATCTGCTTGTGAATGGTGCTTTAGCTTCCTGTCTGCTCTGGCAGACCCATCCAGCCACGCCCTGGCCATCTGCTCCCCCCCTTGGCCCTCACTCCCCAGCTTCCCTAGCTCCCCTCCACCTGGGTCTCGGCCCTTAGCCAGGGAGAAGGATGGGCTCTTTGAGGAACCCAGAGATCACCTGCTTCATTGCATGCCTCAGTTACTCCCTGACTTTCCCGGGGACGATCTAGGTGTAAGTCAGTCTCCATCCCACTTGCTACTTTAATGATGGTTACATTCTCTCCATCACCGGCCTTCATTGCTCTTTTATTCACTGCTCTTTCTCACTCCATTCCATGCCTTGGTCTCTTTTCTCCTTGGTCCTTGCACTTTCCCTTATGGGAAATACCCTCATACCAAACTTTGCCTGATTACAGTATAGAATGGAAGAAACTGATCTCTTGGGTCTCAGGAAAATGCAAGAACACGTGTAGCGTTGGTCTCCTGCGGCTGCCATAATAAAATACCACAAACTCAGGGGCTTAAACAACAGGAATTTATTCTCTCACAGTTCCAGAGGCTAGAAATCTGAGCTCATGGTGTTGGTTCCTGCTGGGGGCTGTGAGGGAGACTCTGTCCTCTGCCTCTCCCTCAGCTTCTGGAGATAGGCTGGCACTCTTTGGCCTTCCTTGGCCTGGAGATGCATCACTTCAATTTTTGCCTCTGTGTTCACATGGCTTTCTCCCTGTGTGTGCGCATCTGTGTCTAAAATTTTCCTTTTTATAAAGACTCTGGTCATATTAGGTTAGGGCCCACCCTAATGACCTCATCTGAATGACACCCACAAGGATGCTGTTCCCACATAAGGTCACATTCGAAGGCAGTGTGAGTTAGGACTTCAACATATGAATTGATTTTGGGGTGGGAGTACAATTTGACACATAACACATATATAATGGAAGAAAAAAAGCGCTTTTTTCCCTCTGAGTAGTCTTTTTGAGTTAGGGATGAATTTTCTTCCCTCTCTTCATTCCCAGATAATAAACGTGCAAGAGAATATACCTTTTGGTAGCTTTTGGCTCAAAAATTCTAGTTACTTATGGCAATCTTTTGGTCTGAATAATTTGTCGTAAATGAAACAGTAATCATTGAAAACATAATCATTGTAGATTAACAAGAGAATCCAAGGGGACCCTCCCCCACTAAAAACAAAACAAACAAACAAACTTGTGCCCACTCTGTGACCTTGCTGTGTTATGGACTTTTATGGGGTTTCAGGTGAGTAACTTCAGTGCGGGGTGACCCCATGATAGTAACAGTCAAGGTACTGTCATTCTCTTTTTGCACATGTTTCTCCGCTAGCCAGTGGGGAGGTTGGCTGGGCAAGGAGCAATCTAAGATTTGCTCAATGAGGAATTTTATGACTAAACCATTTTATGTGTCATTGCATATCTCTCATTTCTAAAACCACCAACTGAAATGGATGCATTCATCACCTTGGGTCTTCAAGAATGACCGTAGACAGTCCAAGTTCTCATTTGAGAAAGAGCAACTTTAGCTTTAATTTACGTTACTAATTTTGATGCCATACCAAGTACATGAATGTTCTGGGTTTCCTGGCAGAGAAGTTAACAATAAGCATTCAAGAAATAGCATGTCTAAAAACCCTTCTCATTTTATGTTTATTTCACTCTTATTTATGCAACATCATCCATGCGTTCATTTCTTCTCTACGGCTTCTAAGAAATGCCCTCAGACATGCAAAGTGACCACTGTTGGAGGGTGGGGTGCTGGGTGGCTGGGTACATCTTTGGTAAGGAAACCCAGTCACATTACCTAAACTACAGGACTGACTCCGTGTTCGGTGGCCCATCTGCACTGTTTCAAAACTGGGTTCACAATGGCACTTTCTGTTTTCAATCAAACAGGGTCTTTTACAACTGGAAATAATAAAAAAAAGTAATTCCCTCTCCTTTGGGTCCTTCAGGTTGAACAACAGCTCAACTCAGAGACACTCTTGCAGTGGACCAATCCCAGCACCATGGCCAGTGCCAAAGTCAAACTCTCCATCCCCAAATTTAAGGTGGAAAAGCTTGTTGATCCCAAAGCTAGTCTGGAAAACCTAGGGCTGAAAAATACCTTTAATGAGAATACATCTGATTTCTCTGGAATGTCAGAGACCAAGGGAGTGGCCCTCTCCAATGTTATTCACAGAGTGTGCTTAGAGATAACGGAAGATGGTGGGGATTCCATAGAGGTGCCAGGATCGCGAATCCTGCAACACAAGGATGAATTCAATGCCGACCACCCATTTATTTACATCATCAGGCACAACAAAACGCGAAACATCATTTTCTTTGGCAAGTTCTGTTCTCCTTAAGTGGCAGAGCCCAGGTTAAGTCCCACCTGACTTTTCTGTAAACTCTGCATCCAAAGAATCACTTTCTAAATACAATAATTGTTAATATTGCTGGATCAGGAAGTAGCTGGTACTTGACATGTGTAACCCTCACACTAATAGGCTCTTCTTTTCCAATCCTTTCTTTTATTCTCCCCACCCCTGCCCCCCGCCATAAACTACAATGCTTTTAATGAAAAGGAGTTACAGTAGATGAAAAATATGTATTCATTACTTGCCAAATTATCTCCCAACTCTGTGACTTTTTGGGATTTTAGAAAGCTAACATGTTGCACATACTATATGTTATGGAAGGAACTCCATTGAGAGAGTCTGGGGCAGAACCCTGTAAATCAACACTTTCATATTTCTGCCACAAAACATAGAATATTCACACAAATTGGATAAGGACTCTGAGTAGCCCATAATAAATGTCAGGTTTTACTGCCAAATGAGTGTGCCACCCGCTTATGAAGAAGCTTTTGGTTTTCAGACCTTTTTGAAATTTTGGAAGGTTGGAGAGGGCATTGCAGACCCGTAGTAGTGGAAGTGCAGCACCTCGAGGGGAGGTTAGATTTTATTAAAAAATCCACTTTGACTTTTGACAGAACACGCATGTGGTCACTTGGCTGGTGGTAGGTCACTGATGGACAGGGAATGCTGACAGCCTGAACAAGGCTCTGGGTGTCTGATGATCAGGGACTTCAAACACGCGGGGATTTTTAAGGTAGCCAATAAAGGAGTATTTTGAGTGTTGAAGGAACTTGGCTCTTTGTCTAACGTGCTAGTGGGAAAGGGGAAAGGAGCTAATGCCTTTGGAGAGAACAACAGCAATTGGAGTGTTCTCACTGCCTTGACACGTATGTTTCCAGACTACGGGTTTAGTTATGGTACATAGTTAATAACTTACATTAATAGTAATTGTGAAGTTGGTCTGTTACGTTATCTGTGCTGCAGGTACACGGATTAGCTCACTACCAAAAGAGCACATTTGCTGACGATTTCGTGACATTCCTTCACCCATCTCTTCTCTGGCATTCATTGTAAATAGGTTCAACTTTCTTCTTGCTCTGAAGGTTCAATATTGAATGTCTTTTATGTCACCGACAATAAAATATTACGGAACTACACGTCTTGTTTTTTTCATGACATTAGATTTACTATTTTGAAATGGAACCAAGCCATCATTTTACAAAAGCATTCCTGTATGTAAGTGCTTTTCGAGGCCACTGATGGAAAATGAAAGGGAGTAAGAATAATTACTGCTCTTATTCCCTTGTCTTCCTTTCTTCCTGCCCACCAGGCTTGCTTCCTCCCCCATTCCCTTTCATCATGGGGGCGGGGGAAAGGACCAGGGGCTGCTGGGATCACTTTCTGCTATGTGTAACTATGCAATTAAATGAGAGGCCTGGCAGGAGTACATGGAACTTTTCTCCAGCAGAAAAGTTTGGGCCGAGCCTCAAAATCTCATTAAGTAAGCTGTAGATGCTCAAAATATTTGTAAGTACATTTTTCTCAATGTACATTTGCTTTCAATCAGTTACAGTATCCCTGAACCTAATATCAACGTAGCCCTTGTCCTGTCCCTAACCTGTGCTCCAGTAGAATGTGTCCCCAGTTGCAGTAATTGCTGAGCACAAAAGGTGACAAATGCTCCCCAACCTCCCAAAAGAAAAAAAAATTTGTGCAGAGTTGCTGGGGTGACCCAAGCCGGGTTTTGCCACTCTTGGCTCATCATCCCCTCTAGGCTACGAAACAGAAAGTAGGGGATAATCACAAAAAGGTTTAGTGAGTATTTAGCGGAGGGAAGGGATTAGTGCCTCTTTAAGTCAAGTGTTCAGGGAGCTTCAGGTGTCTCCTGAAATTTGGAAAGTACTGGAAGTTTTGATTAACTCTTGCCTGGGATGCTTTAATCCAGTGGTTTTCAATTAGGGGCAGTTGTGTCCCCCAGGGGACATGATGTTATGGTCAAGAATTCTCAATATTCTACCATGCCCAGAACAGGCCCAGAGCAAAGCACGCCCACGCAACACCAGCAGTGCCAAGGTTGGGAAAGCTGGGACCCTATCCAAAGGACAGAGGCTGGCTGGAGGGGGTCCCTAAGGCAGAGCAGGGAGAAGGGGCTGCAGAGGGCGTGTGGGGAGGGTGCCCGGTGTCAGCTGTAGTGAGATGTGCAGGGAGCCAGGCTTGAGTGTTTTGAGACTCTGCTCAAAATGTCTGCCCAGTGAGGGTGTGCGGTCTCCGAAGAGCCCACGAGAGCATCCCGTGAGAAAGAGGCGGCACTTGGCACTTCTCGAGCTAGATTCCAACTGCACCAGTGAAGCCAGGTCCTTCCCTCCTTCTCTCTCTCCTCCCCTCTCCTCTCTCCCCTTGCCCCACAAGTTGGGTGTTGTAAGGAGTAGCGGAAGAGCAGGGTGGGTAAATGGTGGGGCAGCCCCCTCCACTTCCCGCCCCTGTGGGTTGGCGAGCCCCAACCGGCCCCCAGCGGTGGTGGATGGAGAAGCTTTCAGTCAAAAGAGGATCTGAAGTTCTGACTTTGAAGAATTCTGGGCTTTTTCATTTCTGAAAAGGTCTTTATTAATACATGAAAGTGACTAGAGAGCTGTTAGTCTAGGGCATGTGTTTAGGGGATTTGGTCTAGGGGAGGGGGGTCTAGGTGGCAGATTGGTCTTGAGAAGGCATGGAGAAAGGGCCATTTCCCCGGCACCTGCCCAGCCTGGTTCGCTGATAAACTGCTTACTCACTTAATCATCACAACAACCATATGAGGAGGAAACCACAACGAAGATACTGAGCCTCGGAATGGATGCAAGGGCACAGAGCTAATGAAAGCTGATGGCTGCAGATTGAGTCCAGAGCTGGAGCTCAGACTTCGATGCCACCATCGTGCCCCTGACAACGGCCGCCGCACGTGCCTGGAAGAATTCCTCTGTCCTCTGTATCTTCTCTATTTTGGAGTTCCCAGATGTTTGTCTTATCCTGGTTGTCCTTTTCTTGTCAACCCAAATGTGCCTAGAGGTAGCTGGCTCAGTTCGGTACATTCATAGAGCATCTTTTATGGGCCAGGTGTTGTAGGGGCAGGTGCTTTGTGGATGTTACTACATTTGCTTATTCTCCCGATAACCCTGGAGGTACACCCATATATTTTAGGAGGAAGTATGGGCTCAGAGGAATGGGGTAAAGCATCCAAATTGGTGATTAGCAGTCTGTCTGCAGCTCTGTCTGACCCCAAAGCCTATACTCCTTCCCCTGTGAATTAGGGCCCTTGGAGCCCTGCGGCAGGCTTGCCCTGGACGGCTTTGCATTCACTCGTGCATCACATGGACCTCAGGCCACACACTGTTGCCCAAGCAATGCCTGTCTCTGTCCTCTAGGAAATCGGAGCGAAACAAAACTTCTTGGTTAGTCCCTGTGCCGATCCCCCACCTGGACTCCAGGGGCAGCAAGGCCTCTTTCCTGCCCTGTGGTGCTGCAGGGGCTAACTGGCAGTCATTGGCAGGCTCGTGTCTCTCTGCAGAGGTGGCTGGGCCTAGAAAGCTGTAGAAAGAAGTGGGATTTCAGAAAGGCCTGGAGCCTTAGTCCAGACGGGGAAAGACAGAGAGAGGGCAGGGATCCCACAAGGGAGAAGCACATGCTCATTGTTTACAGAAGAAGAATGAGGTGCTGCATGCACACGAGGCTCAGAGTGGATGGAACCAGAAGGAAAGAGCACGAGGCCAGATTATGTGGGTGCATCGCGGGCCCTGGCACCAGGGGGCCTGGCGACATCGGTGTCCAGCGCTATGGGGCTCATGCCAGAGCTGCTTTGCCGTGACCATATATAAAATGGGCACACAAAAATATAACATATATATTTATATATACACATACTTGGGAAACAGGATTCCTGAGCCATGTGCAAATATTCAGCCAGTTTTCCGACGTGGTTGTCCCGCTCCTCACTATCTTTTATTAGTAATAGTATTACTATTATTATAATTATTACTGTAATTACAATAGTAGTATGTTATAATATAAAATAAAGCTGGTATATTATTACCAGTAGTATTATTATTTAATAATTATTATCAATGCTTATTTTTTCAATTATTACTTGTATCGATCCCCTGCCATTTATGAGCTGGGGACTGGGCTAAGCATGACCTATATTATAATTCAGCTTTCACAACAGTCCTGAGGACCGGCTTGACGTGAAAGGAATTGAGGAGGAAGTATGGGCTCAGAGGAATGGGGTGAAGAAAGACATGAAGAAACTTCCTGAGCAAGTGTGGCTGGTAAACTGTGTTGTGAGGATTAAACCCCCTCCCACTCTCGGACTCTAGAGCCCTCCTGTTAACCTCAGTGCATTGATTCTATTAAAAACTTTTACTTGATGAATTCAATCGTTTACCTTCAAGGGCAGATTTTGCTCTAGGTTAAAAATGGAATTTCGTGTTCAATATAAGACAAATGAATGTAGGTAAAGATAAACCTTAGCTGAAGATTTACATAGGAAGCAAACCTTCTAGCAATGTTTACTTTTCAAACATTTCTGGTTAAATGTAATATATTTTTTAAAAAATTCAGAGCTTTTCCCTCAGGGGTGACAGTCACCTGTAGACCCTTTGCTTGCTCTTCACACCAGATCTGAAAGCCTTTCCTGTTGTAGTTTTAGCTCGTAGACCTGGAACTGCTTCTACAGCATTCTTGCCCTCAGCCCCACCCCCCTGCCACAGAGGATTTAGTAGATGGGCGTATCCCTGTTTGAAGGCGTCTGTCCCTGTTCCCATCCTCTGGCCCAACAATAATGGCGCCTCCAGTGTGTGAGGGCTTTCACGTGAGGGGGTCAAAGTGTGTTACTAATAGTAAATGACTATTCCTGACCCAAGTTCTGGAGCAGAATAAGTAGATGGTGCTGTTCTCCATTAGAGATAAGACAGGGACGGATGTATTGCTAGCACTTCTCACCGCCTTAGAGGAGCCTTGCAAGACCCGTGTAGCCCAGATAGAGCCCTGCCTGTCTTTACCATATGCTCCTTCATGCATCCCCACAAATAGTAAATATTAATACATACTTTGGATTGATGGGAAA